TCAACATTACGTTCATCATTACGTTCATCATTACATCAATCAACATTACGTCACTACGTTTCTTACTTGCTGCGTTGCAGTATTAAATTTGAAGACACCTCTTTTAAGCCCCCTCCAATACTACCATTTGCGAGCTACCGTGAAGCGTGCATTTATAACAGGGTTTTAAAACGTTTCTTCAGCATGAGTTTGTCATTCAAAACTTTTTGTTTTGCTCCTAAAACTTTTTGTTTTGACATAATAACTTCTGTGAGCGTGGTATGAAACATATTGTTTTGCACGCGAAACTTTGAGTTTCGGCGTCACAACCCAAAAGGACACTTGTATTATGGAGGTTTGTTACGTAAACATATCCAAAAGGTGCTATAAATCTGTCATTTCGCTTTCTATATAGGAATTTTGTCGGTATAAACGCGTCCGTGTGAAAAATAAGTGAGAAGAAATTTTCGAGTGCAAAATCCCTCCCCCTCTCCAAAGTGGCTGAATCATTGGGGGTAATGGGGGGTTTAATAGAAGATTTACTGTAGTTTGATATTGGGTACACACGACCTACTCCGTCCAAGTAAGAATTCCACTTCCAATTATATTTGGTACATATAGCTGACTTGACAATGGCAATAAACTTCTTGAATTATCTTTCCTGCCATGTTTTTGGTGTTGTTCTAGCAAACTTGGAATTTTTGCGAGTCTTTGCGAACTGTGAAATTTGGCTGCTACCAATTGCAGAAAAAGCTGACGAACCATAGAATAAACCGCCGCTCCAACTCATTTCGTCGATTCATCAGTGAAAGGCCATGTTACACCGGCCAATCTTTGTTTCAACATGCTCATATTATTTCTTTAAAACTGTGGCAATTGATATTTGTTCTAATTGCTATAATTACACTGACCTGAAAGGTCAAGTGTCTTAAATCCCTAATTATTTTTGGGTTTTCTGTTTTCTTCGTCGTCGAGAAATCGAGTTTGCGTTAGTGCATCGCAGGCTCAGTTTCCAGTTTACTAGACAGATCAGTTTTCAAGATGGCGGCCATTAAATGAGTGACTATTTCAGTCTCCCCGCATTTTACTCCGCCGACCATGTGCTCACGTAACATTTCATCAAGCCGTAAAAGAAATGAATTTGAATGAAAATATCACAAAAGTGAAAAGCATGCAGTCCAAACATGGCTCGAATTACGTTGCATGTTGCAGAAAATTTGCTTTGTGTAACATGAGCTGAACGCATGTTTAACTTTATACCTCTTCGTACAACTTTACACTAACAGGTTAACACTTCCTTGGGAATTACTATACGCGCAAGATGCCTTCGTACTTTCCCATTTGAGTCCGAGTATTTTCGAATCTTGTTGATTTTTAATATGTTCAATTGTTGCTTTGCGCATGTCTGTACTTCTGAATGTTGCGTTGCATCGCTGTCTTTGAGTTCATAGATATTCCAATTCCATCTTTGAATATAACTGTTGTTTTAATACGTCTTTAATATATATGGTTTATCACAAGTCCTCCTGAGAGAAAACGCACATTGTTTAAAATAAGCCATAAAGTTGTTCAATTAAGTTTTATATGTGTATTTTCTTTTTAAGGTTTGGAATGACACTATCTGTGCGAAGAACAGCAATGATGAAGAGTGCAAATTGTTTGTGCAAAAGGATTTTATTCGCTTGTCTTTTGATGTGTTAGGAGAATGTGTATTTGGCTATGAGTTTAATTCAATTGAAGCTGGCAATACCCCTGTAACTCAAGCATTCCAAGATTTCACGACAGGTCCCAATATGGGTGCAAATACCTTGACTCGAAGACTGTTGCATTTTTTACCCTTTCATAAAAGATCCATCAAACGTAAATTTCAAGAATCGTTGAAAACCACGTCCAAGGTTATCAAACAGGTAACAGTCGATATTCAGGTACATATCCTGATATCCCTTAAAAAATTCATTATTATTCATTTTAAAATCATTTACAATCAATGTAAAGTAGGACACATTAGGCACCATTCGACAAGTATTTGTGAATTGGAATCCAACGGTGTCCATTATTTGATCATAAGCATTATTGTAAAATTTTATGAATCGAAGAGTTGAACGATATTGGACACCATGCAATCTCCAATCACTTTATTGTTTAGATAATCGACAATAAGCAGGAGAAGCAAAGAGGCATGAGCAGTAGAAGAAAAGATCTCTTAGATCTTCTTCTTGAGGCTGTTGATGACGAGACTGGTCAAGGTATGGATGAAGAGGAGTTGCATTCCCAGTTATTCATATTTCTCGTTGCCGGTCACGATACATCCTCTACTGCCTTGTCGTGGGCCTTGTATTTTCTTGCTCAGTATCCTGACATTCAGGAAAAACTCCGCAGTGAAGTCAAAGAGACATTAAAAGAACGAGAAGAAAGCTGGGAAACCTACGAGTCAATGGAGTACCTAACAGCCGTGGTGAACGAGACATTGCGTCTTCGACCTCCTGCCCCGGTCACGCGTAGAAAAGTAATGCACGATGACAACATCTTGGGATACAACATACCAACTGGCTCCGTGATTGTCTTCCCACTCTATGCTCTACATCGTAAACCAGAATATTGGACAGATCCAGAGAACTTCAATCCGGATAGATTTCTGGAAACAGGTTAGAATGAAAGCTGTTTTGCTTGCAGATTAATAACTTTTAAAAATATAAGTTTTGTGTTTTTTTTTTATCTTGTAGCTATACAATCTGTACTCGGGTAAAATTCACGAGTACCATGAACTAAGTTATTCAGTTCGCAACTTGTGGAAAACTAGCAAACATTGTTGTGAAAACATTTGAAAAATTGTAATGTTTTCCCATCTGACGTTTAACTTTTGATGTTGGGATGAGAGCTTTGGCATAAACCACGGATTTTGTATTGCATATATGCGTATATTATTATTCCTAAAACAAATAACTAAATATGCAAAGCAATAGCATGTGCATGTTTCTGTGAAGATAACCCCTAATGTTAGTTATTTTCATACAATATGTTATAGTTTTGACAATAATGACAACCTTCTTAACTCACGAATTCTCAACATTTATCGTTTCTAGATAAGCAAAATAATCCTAACAATCGTTTTGCATTCCTTCCATTTTCCACTGGTCCTCGAACCTGCATTGGCTATAAATTTGCTTTGATGGAAATTAAGATCGTCCTAGCTACTTTGATCCAAGATTTTACATTTTCAATGATTCCTGGAATGTCCTTTGAGGGTTCCTTGTCCTTCACCTACTTGTACAAACCAAAACCATCACTACAACTCCTCATACGAAACGTGAGCGAGTAGAAAACAGACTGAGGAAATCTGTGAATGGTGAAATGGATAATACTATGTAATTAGTTGTATCGTCGACAATTTTCTGGAAACAGAACAACAAATATAGCGAACAATATAAATTAATAGGCAATTCCAGCTCTTAATTTATGCGCACAGGGGGTGACGGGAAGTAAGGTATCATATTGCTGATTATGCTGAAAAATTTCAATAAAAACTGCCGAAATATTTCAATATTTACAAGTATAAGCTATTACTCAATTTTGTTACAATGAAAATACAAAAAGTGTCCCCACTTCCGCTTCTGTAGTTTGTTGTGATTTACTATTTTTCTGTAGCGACTGATTTATCGGCAAATACTGCGATAAAATTTAAATTTCGTACCTAATATGCAATGAAACTAACGAAAAATGTATTATTTCCCTATTTGCTTCAAATTATCATATTTAAAAAAAAAGAGAAAACGGAGTTTTATCGCGGTATTTGCCGATAAATCGGTAATCGCTACAGAAAAATAGAACAAATTACAGTCAATCACAACAAACTACAGAAGCGGGACACTTTTGTATTTTCACTGTAACATATTGAATTAATGCTGTATAGCAGTGTGCGAAATTAAATAAAAAACTTTCATTTCATGTCATTTATAGACATTTAATAGCATGCAGTTTTGTATTTATAAAAGATAGCGTCTTTTCCTGTAACAGGGAACCCGTGAAGCCTTTCTTTGGACCAGTTATATCACAAAAGAATGACTGAAATTCTTTACCTTGCAATTCCGGTACCAGTCAACAGTATGCAGGTTATGTAACAGAAACTACACTCAGTACCCTACAACCAGGATTTTGGGCATCTCAATAGAATTAAGTGTTAAAGGTTTTTGTGGATGGAAATTTGGAGTGTAAATCATATATCCATTTTGAATAGGTCTAAAAATGTATTTTATTTGTACCACAGTATCTTAAACAAAAGAATAGGTGCGCAGTGTAACGATGGTCAGATCCCCAAATTTTCATAGAGTACGGATCGGAGTTGATTGAAACGAAATACATAATTCTATCATCCGAAAAGAATGCTGTTAAAAATACTGTTTTGATGCTGCCATTTTTACATAGTGACTGGCAGCCAACTAATGGTCTGATGATGATTCTGTAATAGGATCGAAATATAACCATTTGTTTTATATCTTATTTTCTTCTTAAATTGTCGGCTGGTTCTGGCCAAACATTAAAATGCGCGAGCACCTTCTGAATTTTGCAGGCACGTTTGATGCATTTTTTGCAAGCACATTTTGAATTTTCTCGCAGGCATGAAAAAATATTAATGAGCCCTGGTTCTGGCTCTCCTGATAACCAGTCCGAGGCCTGTTTTGTACGTCGAATCTCGATCGCGTCATGAAGCTTAATGAGGTCTATCATCTCATCTATTCAACGCGACCAAAATTCGACGTATAAAACAGGCCTGACACTCTGATACTACTAACCATTGAGCTAAATGTTCAACTCAAAGTGTAACCTTGCTCCTGCCGTCGACCTTGTAGCTCAATGGTTAGAGCGTACGTCGGTTTATCAGGAGAGGTTACGTGGTTCGATTTACGTCAGAGTTCAGACGTTTCCTGAGATATAAGCTTGATACGCATGCGCAATTCATATCATGCGCAGTCGTGTGATGTGAAACTGTGCGTTGTATACTGTGTCAAACAATATAAATTAAAAAGAAAAAACAAGGGACGATTTCTAACAAGCTATATTTACACTGACATACCAAAGAAAATCAACAGAAGATTGCATGCATGCAATAGATTAATATAAGTTCTACACTATATAATGAAAGTACACTTTCATACTCACTTTCATACTCGAAACAGATGACTTCAGTGATTGAGCGTGTACAAAAAAAGTTAGCGATTTATCTGTTTCGCATAGACGTTCGGTAATGCCATGATTAAACCCTAGAGTTATCTCTGGAAACTATAGATTTCGTTTTTTAAAGAACATCGCATTTATTTCCTTAATAGTTCGTGAGGTTTCACCTTGATTTGTAATTCACGGACAATTTCCAGCGATATAGCAACATATTATTTTTGGAGACGTTGTAGAAATTCTTCAGAAACTTTTAAAATACTAAAAGGAAAGAACGATGATGTCAGCAAAATCTTCAGGAAGTACTATAATTATTACAGGATATAAAAAACGTAAACCAACTTGAGCGTTTTATCGTACGCCACGATTTACTTTCTTCGTATACCAATAAAGATCAGGTCTTTCGCTCTCAAATGACTGCTTTTATCTCACCTTTGGGAATTGAGTTGCAAAACTACTGTCTTACGTAGTAGTGATAGATGGTTCAAATCGCGATTAACAACGAACTTTGGTGATTTAAACATTTTACGAAACGGAAGGTCGGCAGAGATATCAGCAGTCTTGAATGCTTCCCATGCATAGGCAACTTACATTTGGCCAAATAAACGAAAACTCGAAAAATATTTTATGCATGGGGAAAATTTGATTTGGTCGCAATGATAGCTTTTAGGTCGTCATTTGACAGGTTTTTACCCGATGGTATTTGATCGTATTATATATATATATATATATATATTAACTCAATACTTAACACACAATATGCTAAACTTGGGTTGCCTTTTACAATTTTGTTACAAGCAAAACAAATGCTGCAACATGCAATAATTCTCTTACGTGCATGTAAATGACGTTATTTATATTAAAAAATAGCCATAATTTATATTCTCATGATAAAGCAAAGTTGCTAATGTATAAGTGAACATTGTCACGGATATATTTTTAGCCTTACCTGTGAGAGCTTCTTGTGCAAAATATTTTACATCGATGTCAGTATCACTGTTTAATTTATCAAGACAGGGTTTTACTTGAGCCTGAACCATACTGAAAATTGATAATGCAATTAATTTGACGACAAAATTTTTTTGTCTTATACAGATTTAACTACAAACTACTTTATTTTGCTAGGCAAAACACAGGTATACAAAATTGTGGAATATTTCAGGACTAAGGTCAGATTATCATTGATGCTGTAAAATTGACGCCATATTTATACAGCAATATAAGCAAAACTTATTGAACTTCAGACATAATTTTCTCTTTGGCGTACCATCTAAAATCTCTTATTTTAGCATAATGTTACAGATAAAGCACTAAACATACTTTTTTAAGTTTCTTTGCCGCTTGAGAAACGTATCGAAAAATAAAAATTTTTGAATGTAGTCATAACCAAGTGAAAAAGTAATTCATTAGTTCTGCTCGCATGTTATGTAACATATACACAAAGATTATCCTCTTAATGGACTTCTGCTTTGCACATCCACCTATAGTAAGGGTGAGGCGGTTAATCAATAAACCGACAAAACCAAAACTTTTTAGATGTTGTTTTACATAAGTAAGATGCTTTTTGTTTTTCAACAAGTTAATACTTTTCCAAAAATACGGAGCTAAATCACAAATTTTCCATTTTAAAAAAACTGTATCGAGCCACCTTAAGATACAATAATTATCAATTATAATGCTTTAAAATTGACGCATATTACAGCAATGTAATTAGTGAAACTTACACATCATATTTGGCAAATCAATTAAAATCTCTTCATGTTAGCATTATGTTACAGCATAGTTAATAGAAATAAACAAGGTTAGGAAGGCCGGTGAACTTCAAAGGATTTCCTATTCAAACTTCAACTGATGTTGAAATGTAATTCCGAGTGCACACATCTTTTGTCTTGCGTTGATTAATATTCAAATATTATGGTTCAGCGATTGAAACTAAGGTTTTTATTGGGTAATCGCCTCATACAGAATCCGAGTGCACAAATTTCCATAAACTTGGACAAAAACATAGAACAATGACTTTTGTCAAGCTTCCAAACCATGTTTATTTTCTACTAACTATGGTTACAGATAAAGCACTGAAAATATTTTAAAGTTTGTTTGGCGATTGAGAAACGTACAGGGAATAAAAAATTTTGAACGTAGTCATAACTAAAACATATGCTCGTTAGTTTTGAGCGGGTGGTGCGTAACGTACAAAAAGATGGAGACCAAGCTCATGTATACTCACCCTGCTTCAAGTTTCGGACCAATTTTTTGTAAAGTTTTAGCAACATTGAATCTGACATTTGCTACAGCATCTTGAGCTAGGCTTATTACCGTTGGTAACATCAATTTCGATACATTTTCAGCAACTATAACTTCGGCTAAAACCTTTAGAAAGAAAAACAACCATGGTTGTTTTATTTTTTGAAAGTTATACTTATGGAATATTACAGTCCATTTATTCTAGCATCAATGGATCGATCACCAGACAAACTATCCAACCCATGCAACCATATAGGTCTCTCAAAAAGGTAGCGTTGTATCATTATGTATATTATTCCCCAAGGTTGGCAAGAAAAATATATGCAGGATGACGGTTGCCATCCCAACGTCACAAGATAAAGCTCTTTGATTGGCTGGCTGAAGGCGGACTGAAACTTGGCCAATCAGAGGGCTTTATTTTGTGACGGCTGTCATCCCGCATAGTTTGAAAAAATTAACTAAATTCAGTAAAAAATTTGGATGAATTTTCGCGAAATTCACTCCTTTTAATGTGCTGAAAGAGTGGCGAGTTAGTTTTTTAAATTAATTTAGATGTTTATGTACGAGATTTTCGTCATTTAGTTTTTGTATACAGTGTTACATCGGTATTTTCTTGCCAACTTTGGGGAAATAATATACATAAATCATGATTGAACGCTATGCACTGTGTAAGATGTACTTCATGCAATACGAATTATAGAGGTTTCAGCGTAGATTAATCAAGCGAGAATATAAGCATTGCATTTTAAAGCAATTTTATGGATATTTTAAAAAATAAGACCTTTTCGGGAGACCTATGATGCAACTAGCGAACTAATAGTGTGATCTATATACAGTACTAGGAAGGGTTCTGGGAACATAAATCATGGTTGTTATCGTCATAACAGTTCAATGCTGTACACACACGGACAGATTATTAGAGATGATGAACCATAGGTCTCTGGGTTGTGAATATTCGTCTGTGCATGTGGAAATTACAGCATTATACACAGTTTTTGTGTACTTACGTTAATTGAAAATAAAGTCGTTAGACGATGGAGATAATTAGGATCTCGGGCCATAGCGAGGATTTTCGGGATGACTTGAGTCTAAAATACAAGACAACAACTCTCTAAAAATGCATTCCAACTTTGCAGACTGCACATGTATTATTTCATTTAAACTTTAGGGTCATCATCTACCTATACTATCCAGGCTCGTGGTTAGTTGATTATAACAATGAAAGATAATAAAACTAGAAATCGTCTTTCTAAAGAACGAGTCACGAACAATGATAATTTTTGTTTCTGATTTGTTTCTGAAAGCCAATCACAAAACATGATCATTTTAGGTAGGTCTTTACCCGAACTTTAATTTCAATGAATTTGTCACAATACAAAACATTACGTATGCATACAGTACACGAATAATTGAATACTAACGCGCAAACAGACAACATGCTTACAAAACAACATAGGTGTGACTGGGAAAGGAAGAGGACTTGCGTCTCAATTGATACCTGACCCCAAACAGCAGTTGATTAAAATACACAAATTACAACCACAACTACTGTATATTACTTAATGTCAAGTACAGCCAGGAGGGCTGTAAAATGTGTTTTTTTTTATAATTCGTAGAATTTACGAAGATTGGTCCATAATAAAGATATAGAGTCATAGGTTTTCAAGTCAGATAAAATGCTGTTCCACAGATTTGCTGACCTAATAAAAAATTAATACAAGTACAACGTCGACGTTTCAACTACCTTCCCGACGAAGGGCCATCGCTCGAAACGTCGACGTTTTAGTGACGAAATATTGACGCCACTTTAGTGACGAAATATTGACGCCAATTTAGTGACGAAATATTGACGCCACTTTAGTGACGAAATATTGACGCCACTTTAGTGACGAAATATTGACGCTACTTTAGTGACAAAATATTGACGCCACTTTAGTGACGAAATATTGACGCTACTTTAGTGACAAAATATTGACGCCACTTTAGTGACGAAATTTTGACATCCGAAGCGTATCCTTATCAATCTGCATTATTCTTAGACGATGTCATATTCTTCATAGATCATTGATTGAGATTTTGGCGTGTGTTTTTATCTTAACCAATGATTTTAGAAAGTTTTCTCACTTTTAAGACCAACAAGTGAGGATATATCAAAAAGAATATCGTTGATAAGTTCAACGATACTTGAACAACCGTCCTTTGGACGAAAAGGAAAGAAAGCCTGGGAATACAGGGGCTTTCGCATAGCGAGTACGCCGAAATCCTGCTCCATCAAAGCATAAACGAACTGCGTGAACGTAGCAGGCGATGGGGCAGGAATCAGGGTTTCATCAAAACACCAGCGGGTAAATGTATTAAATTTTTTTGTTTATAATAAAGCTAATGCATATCATTTTTAGTGCATGACTATTTTCGAAGACTAAAGGAATACCGAATGGTTTCCGTGCAGGATTGCGTGATCTATGCACGAGGGATGTCGCGAGACTTTCGGAAAGCGTAAAAATACTCGAGCCGCAGGCGAGTGTATTTTTACGCTTTCCGAAAGTCGAGCAACATCCCAAGTGCATAGATCACGCTATCCTGCTTGGAAAACCATTTGGTAATTGTTTTATAAAATAACTACAGTGAAACAATGACAATTTGAAAATCCCGCGAAAATCCCGCGAAGGCATTTTAATTCCTCGTGCAGGATAGCCTGATCCTACACGGCTATTGACCAATCAAATTGCGTGTTTCACTGTAGTTATTATATAAAACACTATTCTGAACTCCTCGTATATGTAAACATTCACTTAGCGCGCGAAGCATCACGGTTGACCGTGATTTTTTAAAAGTGTATGGTCGTGGGTTTTAAGTTTTGTTACTGTAAAAGCATAAACGGTTATTTACCAAATTTTTGAATATGCGGCAGCGATAAACGATGTACTTGGCGGATTACAGGTTATTTAGTGAGTTTTTTAACATTTATATATAGCATATGCAATTACACCACACAGCCCAAGTTGAGGCCCACTACTGACCGTGGATTTCAGTGCACTTTGAGCGGGAAACGTTAAATTCGCACCCTGCATTCAGGAGCTTCATAAACGTAGCGGGGACGAGCGGGAAGATTTGGAAAATTTGGAGTCTCTAGATCGTCGGAATGGCATTTTCATGAAGGAATAGACTTATCTACCTCTTTCGTTAGGCCTTTTCATTAATTCTTTCAATATGATTTGCGAGTCTACGCTATTCGTGAGTTGGGATGGATCATTATTATTAATTGGCCAATCAGCGCAAAAGCTATTCCGGCCCCCCTTTATAAAATATTGGGAGGTGACGGTCCCCGCCCTGCTTCCTACGACCCTGCCCTGCAATTGACATGAAACGCATGAGATACTTACAGCTGCCCAGTCCTGACCAAACTGCTCAACAAGCTTCTTTAGATTGGTTGTCGCTGCTTCTCTTATTGCATAAACTAAAATATGGTACAAAATCAAATAACGCATTTTGACAATGTACGGAATTGGAACACAGAGAATGTTCACATCTTTGAATTAAGCCTGGTTCCTTTTAGTCACGGCTGTCGCGAAGAACTGGTCACTAATAATGTGTAATAGCATGAAACTATCTTGTCTTTTGTCATTCTCGTCCCCAGAGCCATTTTCACTCGGTCACTCGTTGAAAATTAGGCTCTGGGCAATCTCGTTCCCCGAACCTGCGATCCTCGGGAAGGAACGCGAGGCTCTGGGATAATCCGTTTCAGGGAGGAACCTGATTGGCCGTTGAAATGGAATGCGTAGTTCAATCTTAGCCAGAATTCCTGGCTTCCGGCAACGGATTATCCCAGAGCCTCGCGTTCCTTCCCGAGGATCGCAGGCTTAGGGAACGAGATTGGGCTCTGGGTTAGACGACTAAAGGGAGAGATCTGATTGGCTTCTCAGAGAACTGCTATTTCCCAGAAGTTGAGCAGTTTTCGCTCGGCAAAATTATTCTATCAACATATGTCAACAAATACTTCGTTTCTTCGTAAAACTTCTCTGTGAAAATTGTTACGGGTACTAAAGCGTCCCAATTCAAGAGCATGCGCTTTAGAATTTACTGCAAGTCTACTTGCACTCCCGGTTTCGTTTGCGCCAGGGCCTAGGGAGGACGCGTGCGGCCGAGAGGCCCTGGGGACGAGGATGGTCTTTTGTGTGTTGCATCTAAATCAACCTTTACGATTTTTTAGGGATACATGCACCGACACCCGTTACATGCACTGATCGGCAAACTTGGCCAGTCACAACCAAATAGAAAACAGGCTTTACTACTTAAAACTAATTTCCGGAAATAGTGATCCATGCAATTTGCATATAAGTTCTTCGCTTACCGTGGTCAACCAGCCAGGCCATGCATAACGCATTCAGTTTTTCATCGAAGAATTCTACACCCTAGTGAAAACAAGGAATTGACATAAAATTTGGTCATCTCGCTCAACAGAACAAAATGTTGAGGGGTTTTCCGTGGATGGAAATTTCGAGCAAAAGTTATATACATATTTAGGAGCTGCAGTAATCGGGAACAGTGGTCAGAGCGCTGCACCGGAATCTGTAGCTCCCTGCAGGAGGGACTATACTTGCATTTTTTACAACTGCTTCTGACTGTCTCTTAATTATGTATATTATTTTTCGCTCCAACTTACCACCCACGAGAAGGCTTAACAATTGATACAAACATTTGAACAATTTTAATGATACAGTACAACATACCAGTTGCCCGGCCAGCAAAGGCATATATTCTATAATTGCTAGCCTCACTCTCCACTTATTGTCTTCAGCAAGCTCGACTATAGCAGGCAATAGAGATTGTGATAACTGATGGATGCCAATAACTGCAACAAAAAACAAAATAATAAGTTATATTTAAAAAAATTTCCGTGTTTCGTCGTAGTTAAAGAAACACGTACAGTAATGATGCTTGGGGAAAGAGATATATGAGCTCAAAGAGCGAGTGTCTCCACGCATTTTCTAGTATTTCCAAAAGTGTTTCTATAACTCCAACGGAATAAGAAAGATATGTTTTCCGTACCAACACCAATGACCTGGCAACATACTATAGGAGATCATATATGCTGATCAATTGACTGCATAAACGCAACCCGAATCAGCCAATAAGAAACCACCACGAAGTGACAGCTATATACAGCAACGAATTGTGTTCGGAATAAAAGCTCCTCGAAGAAAACAATATAATAACTAGAAGGTCTAGGGATAATTACAGGAGGACATATACCTTGATTGACGCAGTCCAAGTTTGAAATGATATTCAGTCGAACTTCAGGATACTGTAAAATAAAAATGAAGCATGTCATTACTGGACATCTCTTTCCATATACTTCGCCGATATTCATGTCAAATGCTAAAATAATTCTTTAGTACTCAATATACAGCAGTAAACACGGCATGGAGTGGCACAGTGGTTTATGCACAGAGTTTCGAGTACTACAGTAAGGTATGTGTATACTCTATATGCTATAACTTCGCCTCAGACTCTTCACATGCACTTTAGAAGACTGCTTACATACAGTTTGAATCTACCAACACACCCTACCAACAAGAATTTTCTGGGTAATCTGGAAAAACTGAATCAATAGTCGACTAAATGCATACTATCGCCTTTTCATCAGGATTTTGGGCATCTCACTCGACATAATCAATGTCGAAGGGTTTTAGTAGATGGAAATTTCGAGTGTATATATTTTATATATTTTTAGACCTAACCAGGAGCACAGGGGTGGAAAATTTCTTTCTGGGAACCTGGGTCGAAGGCTAGAAATTTTCTGTAAAATTTGTAATGTTACAATTACAAAAATAACAAAACAAATGCATAATTATTGTATTATTTGTACTTTAGTAATAATGGGCTTTAGGCTGGTTTTCGTACGCATGTACATCACAATAGTTGTCTGTTATATACCACAGTTATGAGTTATGACCAACTAGTAAGGATCTTGATTTTTTCTGTGTTGGTGTTATGTACTAAGGTGAATATGATGTTTGTGATGTTACTCTGAGTGTATATCCACACCGGGCAAACTTGAAAAATATTCCTGGCCACGATGGGAATCGAACCTACGACATTTGGATTACTAGCCCAATGAGTTTAGTTCCTTCAACATCAATGTGATCTAGTATTCCAAAGGTCATATAGGTTCGATTCCCACTATGGCCAGGCATATTTTTCAAGCTTGCCCGGTGTGGATACACACTCAGAGTAACATCACAAACATCATATTCACCTGAGTACACAACACCAACACCAAGGGTGGGTAGTAGCGAAGTAGTTGTAGTTCCCTACTGTAGCGAACTACAATTTTCAAGTATAGCCAGTAGTTTTTAACTACTTTTAAAACAGTAGCTGTAGTTATAGCGAACTACATTTTGCCTAAAAGTAGCCAAGTAGTTGACCACTTTTCAAACAATGAATCGCTATTCACCACTTTTTAAAATTGTTAGCAACTTGATAGAATAGCATGATATTGAGACACGGTTTGCTAGTAAAATCAATACTCAATAGTCAACTTACACTCCTGAACACTGTAGTGCTTACAAAAATGTTGCTTTGTGTTTACTGTTGCTACTCGTAAGTCGATTTGTTATAGGTTACATTACAGCCTGAGTTAGTAGATGCTCCAAATACAGTAAAACTAAATATTAATGTAGCGAAATAGCGAAATAGTTCGCTACATTTTTTAAGCAGTAGCTGTAGTCAGTAGCGAACAACCGTTGTTCAAAAGTAGCAGTAGTTGTAGCTGACTACATATTTTTGAAGTAGCTGTAGTTATAGCGAACTACAAAAATTTTGTAGTCAACCCACCCTTGACCAACACAAAAAATGATTTTTGGATTACATTGATGTCGAAGGAACTGAACTCAGTTCCGAAATATCACATACTCGAACCGACCTGACCGCGTAGCTCAGTTGGCAGAGCATTGGGCTAGTATTCCAAAGGTCGTAGGTTCGATTCCCACCGTGGCCAGGCATATTTTTCAAGCTTGCCCGGTGTGGATACACACTCAGAATAACATCACAAACATCATAGTAAGGATCTAATGCTTAACTAAGTGTCCTATCATCTTATTTATTCCATCACTTTTATTTGTTTACTGTTTAATTTGCATTTTATTGGAGACTTTGCAGAGCATATATTCACCATTTTACCAGTCATTGTGATAGCAGGGGTGGGTAAAAGAATTCATTTCTGTCAAATATTTAAAAGCTGCTGATGTTAGCATGTACAGTGTAAATAAAGTAGAATAGTTGTAACTTGTAAGTTGAGTAACAGAGTTATCTCAAAATGTAAATATTTTCTGGAAAATTTTCTGCAAAACTCTCAACTCAAAAAAATTTCTGGGAACTAGGTTCCCAGGTTCCGATACTTTTTCCACCCCTGCAGGAGCAGCTGCGAAAAATGTAACTGCACGCCCTAAAATATATAAAATTGACACTCGAAATTCTCATTTACTAAAGCCCTTCAACATATATTGCAGCCTTTTTACCTCATCTTTTAGCATCGTCAGGAACAAAGGAAGTAAATGTTCGATTGTGCTAAACAAAAGAAATGTTTGAATACACCTCACTGCATGTAAATGATCTCATAGCTCACCTGCATAACTAAATGATTTTCACTATACATGCCAATACGTTATTATTAGGAACAATTAGATGTTGACTTGCAAATAAATAGTATAAATTCTTGGACTTTAACAACTAATGCCAGGAAAACAACGAAACATTGTAGCGGATAAAAATCTTGATGTTTCCTGAAGTGTTTCTCTTCAAAAACATTATTGCGGAAGAAAAATGAGCCTGCGTGTTTGGATACTCAGAGCACTCATGATGATTAATTTATATATACATGCAAATGTTTCAGACAAATGTTTGCTGGTTTGCCCACCACAACCAGCTAGGTCTTCCTGGGCATAGTTTACTCATGCATTCTTATAATAAGGCCAAAGGTAATTTACATTATAAAATAACATGTATATAACGCGTGCTCTGATTGGTCGAAACCCGTGTTTGGATCAGGCCATCCAAACACGGAAATTTAAAGTGAAAGTTTTTTAAAGTGAAATTTTAACAATTGGGAATGTTGCATTGGGAATGTTGTTCGAGTTAAGAAAAGCGCGCAAAATCATTCGCCTTCGGCTCGTGTTTCGCGCGCTTTTCTTAACTCTCGCAACATTCCCGCGTGTTTGGATCAGGCCATCCAAACACGGAAACCATAAAGTAATTGTATACGCATGCATGATGCGAGCCTAAAACTTACTTGTCTTTGCCCACGACTGGCGATAGACCCATGATAACAGACGCTAATGCTGATTTCACATGCTGGTTAGGGTCAACCACCAAGTCCTAAAAAGAAACAAGTTGTTAGTGTAACTGCTTGCAAGAATTACAATTTCCAATTAATTTCAGGCAACAAAGCATGTTCGTTGCAAACATCAAAAACGGCATGTACATGTACCTTTACACAAGGAAGAATATTTGTCATTATTATCTGTTCTCGAATGTCTTCACCCAAATTATCTGAGAATTCTACATAAATAAAGTAAGATCACTGTAAAAAAGTTCTTAAACTGAAACAGATTATTAATTCAGAGATCCCAAAGAATATTGCAAAGTTGATAAGATAAATGATAATTATAAGTAAGCAATAGCCATTGCAACAAGATTGAGTGTATCTTCTGATACAGATTTATTATGATACCCAATCGCAGTAAAAAGTGATCGTATACAAGGTGGGAATTTTTCAGAAAATTACAAGTACACGAGTGCAGCGAGACAGCAATATCAAGGGCAGGGAGGCAGCTCACTATTCTTTTTGCCGCTATCACACTATTCAGGCTATCTTTTTGCCCCTATCTACACAACGAGGTGGACCACCAGTCTCTAGCATAAATCGGATCCATATAACCAGATATATATATTTGTATTTTGTACCTTTGACTTTTCCGGATGCGGCTGCTCTTACTTCAGCTTCATAGTCTTTTAGCAGACTTTGAAATGCTGGTACTAAATCTGTCTTGGTTATTTCACTCCCAACTGCTTTTTGAAGCTGAAAATATTAAATTGTGAATACAGAATCCTACACAACTCTTCCTTAATCTATAAATAGGGAAAGGTATCAAGACTCTATTTCACTGTACCCCCCCCCCAATCCCAACACAATGTTACACGTTTCATCTATGCTAGATACTTGCGCCTAAAATACAAGCTCACTCTGAACAAATTTTGCTTCTTAGTGGCCATGACAATGTTTTCCTTCAGGTAAGAGACTGGAATTGACATGCTGGTGTACTCCGCTCTCAAAAACGCGGTGCGCCCACCGTATAGGTAAATCTATTCTTAGGTGTATCTATATATAAACTCTACTGTACCTCTGTGAATTTATCCGCTACCATATACCGAACACGCCACGATTTATCCTAAACAATAACATAAAAAGGCTACAGCGTGTAACATCAATAGTAAGCTATACATGCAGTACATGTACCTTGTCTAACAGCAATGTATTTGTCAATGAAAAATCCACGGAGTGTAAAGAGTTAAGGTACTTTAGAATTGTTTACCATGCTGACAGTCTTGAACTGTCTATGTACAATTTTTATATAAACTCTTTGAATAAAGACTATGAATAGTGCGTAATTAACACAATCATAGACTCACGATCGTGGAAGAGCTTGTATATCTGACAGAAAATCCTGTTGATTTAGATTAACTTTAGGTCCATTGTTCTCAAGGATTAGCCTGTGTTTCAATGGTGTAGTGGAGTGCAAGGAATCACAGGCTAACCAAGTACAGTATCTGCATTTATTCCTTACGAATATCGACATATACGGACGTTTTAAATCTTTTGATCAAGACAAATCGCAAGGTATATCGTATATCTTTTACAACACGGCTACAATGTGCAGCGGTGTAGAATTTACAGTGAATACGATACCTGAGCTGCTGTTCTTAACATTGGCATAACAAGAGCATCCACATCTTCAGGGGGTAAGATGGACGCAATGTTGACACAAGCTTCAACAGCTAACAACCTCACAGAGTCCTGCCACATAAAATACAATGAATATAATTGGGGATTTCACAGGTACAGTAAACCCGAGATTATAATGAGAAATCAGGGAATGAGAAATCAGATTATAATGAGAAATCAGACTCAATACAAAACAATGCTATACTCCATATTCCAGAACGATTTGCACAGCTGATTAAGCACTACGCGTTTGCTTTAATACGTTCAGAAAAGGAGTACAGGAGTAATAAGTTCTTACACTCTAAAAAAAGGTTTCGATTTTCCAGACATTCTTCCACTGTCGTTGCGTTTTGGCCGTTTCCCTCAAGAGGTGTTTTGACAGTCCCCCAGAATGTACTTCAACCTCATTTTAATACTACTAGCTTCGTCTACAAGATGGTGAGGTTGGCCAGATTACGAAAGAAACGTACAATACCTGCTCGTCAGATGAAAGGTTTGTAAACGTAGGTATGAGATCAGTTTTAACGAATTCTAACTCCACAACTTTAGCAAACTCCTGCAAAAAGAACCGTCCTAATAAGTTTGCTATTATTCGTAAAAGTATTCAAAGTATCTCTAACCAAACGTTCATGTGACACAAATGAGACTTTTTTAGCCATAGAATAGGTCAAGACTAACCCCAAGCTTTGAAGCAGCAGCTCTTCGAACCATTGGTGTATCATCAGAGCAGAGTGTTCGAAAATGCCTACATGACACAAACAGTAAATGTTTTAAAAAAACATCTTGCTATATAGTACTGTATATATACAGTGAAAGTTATAAAATCAATTACGATACGAAAGTTAAACATATACGGTAATACTGCATGCAAATAGAGATGCGAGTGCATTTAACCTTCAAAGAAAAACACAGAGATTATCTGGACTTTTAAAATCCCGTGTGTTTATCCTCTTGGGTAAATATGTTTTACAACCCAATGGACCATTTGCATTATAGA